CATTAATATCAAGAAGGGTGTACTTGGCTGGGTTTAAAACACTTGCTTTACGTCTTCCTTCCGTTGAACGACTGACAGGTTCTTCTTCAAGAGCAGAAGAAAAAGTGTTCTTTTATGTTCAAAGCAGCAAACTGTATTCAGTCTTAGATGTATTTCAAACCAAACCACTGCCATTTCTGAGTCCCTTAAAAAATACTACAATACCAGCTATATTTTATGAGGTATATTTCCCACTATTCAGCTATACCAAATATGCCTAATGTTGTCACTACTGCTCAAAGACTCAAAATTAGTAGATGCTCAGAAATATTAAGCTTGCAATCCTTTACTGAGATCATCTGATTTGCAGAACCACTGGCACTATTTAGGTCTACTAGAGTAACCTCCTCAAAACAAGTTTCTTCCTAAAAACTATTCACCATCTGAAATTAAACCACAATCTATAAACATTTGCAACACAATCCCGTTAAACCAAAAATTGTCTTTCCTACCTCCCCTGACCTCAGGTGTCACTCAGTTTCTATTTCTCTCAGCATTTTTCAATCCATCCTTCAGCATACTCTGATCAGTTTCTTCACAGCTTGCCACTCCCTTAGCTAGTAACTGCACTGCCATTCTGATTTCCCTTGATAAAATAGTTCTCCACAACAGGAAACATGCTACTGCAATTACAGTTTAAAGGTACAACCTTTAGGGCAACTACCTCATGTTTCCAGATCCATGATATCAGCCTCTGAACATTCCTTTCAACCTGAAGGCAAGTAGAGATCTGATAGTGCTACAGTAGATGCTTAGCAAATATGCACAGAGCCACCTTACTCACAGCAATGAATAAACTTCTCATTTTGTCATACTGTATTATAATCACTATACATCTAACAGATCCGTTGTGGATAAAATCAACAATCATAACCCATTGGTCTCAACTATAGCTGAGGGAATACTTAGACAGAATTCCACTTTGCAAACAGCAATCCTGTCCTATGTTCTGAATGGAAAATAACCAAATATAGGACAGAAAATGTGAGAGTGAAAAGTCTAACACCTGAAGTAAAACAAACAAACAAAACAAAAATATAAATATCAAAAGTAACATCTGACAAACCAGTGGGAATGAAAAAAATGCTGAAACAGATTTCAAGTAAAACAGGACAAAAGAAAGACAGAGCAAACGAATGGAACTATTACCTCTTTCAGCTATCAGTATCCTTCTGTGAAATACTTCAGGAAGAAAGAGGCCTCTAGTCTTGTTGCTATATGGAATTCTATTCCCATTGTTTTATGTCTGCAGTAAACTGAAAACTTCAATTTGCTAATGTCTATGATAGAGTTTGGAAAAACTCTTCAACATATAGGGAAGGCTGGTAACTTTCCATTTACTTGACATGGGTTGCAGAGATCTTTGAAAAGAAAATTCCAGTTCAAAGATAAACTTGGCCAAAACAAAGAATGTCTTCCTTTCTAGCCTTCCCATCCTTAACATCAAATTATTTACCAGCTTTCAAACATACCAGCAACTGAGATCTTGGCAAAGACTGTTCTTAATTCAGATTTAAAAACAAAAAAATCATACCTCTTGATACAATATAGGACGCCCTTGTAAGTTAGATTCATCTACCCAGACTCATCAATTAGCAGGTAAGAATTCAGAATTTACCTTTAGCTAAATTTAGACCAATTAGTTTTCATAGTCAAAAACTGAAGGCATAATTCTTTCCAATCAAACCTAAGGCAACTGCTAGGTAATATAAAAGAAACAGCTAGGTTTTGTACAAAAGATAGACACTGATCTTCTTATATCCCAAGATAGCCTCAGAGGCACCTTAATTGCTTCCTCCGATTCTCCTTTATTTTAGCAGTTTGAGAACTGAGCACCGTTGCACTGTAGCCACTGAGCATAGGTAATTTTAAAAAAGGTTCATTGGGTCATCTAATTTTATGATTTCCTAAGGGGATATGTGCACTTTTAAGTTATGAATAATGCTTAAAAATAGATATTTAAAAATAAAATGTTCTTCTTTAGCAACTTAAAAAAAATATCCTATATTGAAGGGGTAAACGATCCAATTAGAATCATAGAATCATAGAAGAGTTAGGGTTGGTAAGGACCTTAAGATCATCAAGTTCCAATCCCCTCCCATGGGCAGGGACACCTCGCTCTAAACCGTATCACCCAAGGCCTTGTCCAACCTGGCCTTGAACACTGCCAGGGATGGAGCATTCACAACCTCCTTGGGCAACCTATTCCAGTGCCTCACCACCCTAACAGGAAAGAATTTCCTCCTTATATCCAATCTAAACTTCCCCTGTTTAAGTTTGAACCCATTACCCCTTGTCCTATCACTACAGTCCCTAATGAAGAGTCCCTCCCCAGCATCCCTATAGACCCCCTTCAGATACTGGAAGGCTGCTATGAGGTCTCCACACAGTTTTCTCTTCTCCAGGCTGAACAGCCCCAACTTTCTTAGCCGATCTTCATATGGGAGGTGCTCCAGTCCCCTGATCATCCTCGTGGCCCTCCTCTGGACCTGTTCCAACAGTTCCATGTCCTTTTTATGTTGAGGACACCAGAACTGCACACAGTACTCCAAGTGAGGTCTCACAAGAGCAGAATAAAGGGGCAGGATCACCTCCTTCGACCTGCTGGTCACACAGTTGGTGGCAACGATCTATTACTCAAACATAGCCAACATTACACCTAAAATTCAGCTGAACAGAACAGTTTGTATCTTTAACATATTAACTATTTAATCAAGAAAACAGTAAAGCCTATTCAAAATGAGCAAAAACATCTCTCAGTGGAGTTCAGATAACTGATGATAATTTCAAGAGACAGATATGGATGAAGTTGAAGCTGATACTGGTGTAAGAAGTAACATTTTGTGAATAAGGAAGGAAATGCACATACTTGAAAACGAATTTTTTTTATTACATATTTTACCACTTTACTTCAAATGAAACATTTTGTACTGATGCTTCAAATGAAGACAAAAGGAAAACTTCAGGTACTTTAAGTGTGCCATAGGTTTCCCTGCTTCACATACCATGAAAATGCCCTAGACAATAAGCATTTCAAAACAGAATCCAGATCAGTTTGATGACTTAATGTGGGAAATATGCCAAATATATAGGATTAAAGACATTTTTGCATTATTATTTGGACTTTGTTATTTTACCTAAGCACATCTGTCTCAGACCTTCATCTCTTCATAATCAGAAAATATCTTATGTCCATAGTACAATTTGAAGACAGCAAATCAGCTAATGCTAAACTTTAGCTAAAAAGCTAAACCACCTGACTGTCAAAGCAAGTAAGCAAAGGTCTATTAACCTTAGCAAAACCATGTAACTCTACAAGAAATTAATATCTAATTTTTTGGTATGGCTATCATAGATCTCTCACTGTATAGCATTCAGAAGGCCTTTAATGTGAGGCAGAATATTATACTCCCATTTTATGGTCCAAAACTGGAATATAACAAAATACAGAAATTCAAGGATGTGAAGGCCTGATTATACCTGTTTGAGATGCCTGAGGTTTTGAGAAACTGCCATCATAACACTAGAAAACATTAAATACTAGGCAGCAGTTCTTCCCACAGAAACTTCCACATAACCAAATGATGATTTTTATAATTGCTACATTGGGTTGCATGGTTAGCTGTAATTCTGGGCTTTGAATGATGGCTTTCATTTGTATTGACAATTTCTTACACAAGTCATATATAGTCTGCTGTATTTTATTCATACCCCCCCAAAAATATATAATGTCCTGGTTGCCTGAATACAATGCAAAACAACAACACACAGAAGATCCTAAATAGGCTTACACAATAGGCATCAAAATCTTTACTTGAATAAGTAATAAAGAATAGAAAAAAAAAGATTTTTGGCTGGATCAAAAGTGGTTTCGGTTGCCTTCTCCTTCCCACCTCACCAGACTGGAGGCAAATTCAATCAAGAGGGTTTTGGTTGGGTTTTGCTCTGAATTTTTCATTTATTTTTCTTTCCTCAATGTTTGTCTACATTACAAAATATGACATAGTGCATAACACTACAAATCATTGCTTACTGCATCTGTAACAACCTGATGTTCAATTTGCGCAACTCCAGAAGAGTTACAAGGCATTGAGTGTTGTTCATTAAAGGTTGTGATTAATCTTACCAGGCCTGCAGAAGCTAAACCAACCAATCAGCAAATAAGTACAAAAGGTTCATTTATGTGGATCTCCACAAAGAAAATGGCTGAACTTTATGTTTGGGATCTATCTTAATTAACTTTGTCGTGCTCTGAGCAGGAGGAGGACAAATGAGGTACTTCGCTCACTTTCATAAATGTCATTGGATAGTCAGTTTCTTAAGATACAATCAGCATGACCTGAGAAACTAAAGAAAGATCACTAATTCTTCAGTTCTTGCCATGATTAACACATTAATCCAAAACCACAGAAATTAGACTGCACAAGCCCGGATGCCTTCTTAACTTAAGGCATGAATTATGTTCATCACTACTTGTGCCAATTTATATGGATGTGAACTTCCTACAAGCAGGAAAAACATTTACCACAGGTGACACAGAAAGATCATGGTTGAAAATCCTTTTGAAAAATGTCCACATATGAAATTTAATCAGTTTGTTTCTCAGAAAAAAAAAAAAAAAACACAAAATGTTGTTTGTAAGAAAATAAAAAACTCTGCATCAATGCTCCTGTTTGGCTTGCTATTAAACAGCAAATACATTTTAGCCAAAATATTCCTGGGGAAAAAAAAAAAAGAACAACAAAATTTTGGTGATATGAATCACAAAATAGTGTACCTAATCAGAAAAAAGAAAACTGGGAAATCATATGCAAATATTAGGAATGATGCAAACATTAACAGGCATCATGTTTCACAATGTCAAGTAGACGTTCCTTCTTGTGATGAAAGCTGGCAGGATTCATTTCCTGAGTGTATGCTTACAACTCTATTTTAAATGAAATGGAGGATCAGTGTATTACCATGAAACCATTGAGCAATCCTGTTGGTGTTCCTCTCAAACCCTGCACGTCGAGGGATCTGCTCTTCTTTGAACCAGCGAATGATGACATCTTGGGAAAAGGGTCTAGAAGGACGCTCCCAGATGTTACTGTATTGAAAGGCAAGTAATTACAGAAAAGAGTCATACAGAGAATTCGCAGTATGTAAAACCAAGGGACAACAGAAATATTAATCTATTTTTTACGTATTTACAAAACACTCGGCAAAGACAAACAAGTAAGAAAAAAGCGAATGGAAGCTTTCTAAAGTATATAGAAATTATAAGAAAGAAAGATTTTAAATAAACATAAAAGAGTACTATTTTCTAGTGGCTTAAAAGAAAAGGCAAGGCAAAAACTAAAGGAGCTATGCTTCATGCTGGAAAACTTCAGAGACATAGCACCGAACCCACATTCCCTCGAGGAAAAAAATCCATCCCACACTATTGGTAAATAACAACATATTGTGCATCTCCTCCTTGACCTCTCAGGTCACTGGCAAAGTAAAATTTTAGATACACATCTATTCCTGCTCAACCTTACCAGTGTTAGGTGTGAGAAATTGAATTATAGACATTTAGGTATGTTCACTATTAAAGTATGTGTTTAAAGCAACCTTTCTTTTTCTTGATGCCTTCAAAATCAAGCCATGGACAGACAAAGAGAAGCCTTAAGAGATAACAAAAAGGAACATTGCCTGTTTTTTGTAGTATAGGTGTAGGCTAGAAACAGATAAGTAGTACTGAACATGAGCTGGAGAATGATCTAAATATTTTTCAGCTTTTTTCATGCCCTTTTTGAAAAGGATCACATCTAGCACAACCAAGCTCCATAGTAAATAATCTCACCTCACAAGCTCAGAACTTCAAGTCAAAGTTACAGACTGTCTTGTCAAAATCTGCCACTTTTAATAGTGTTTTTTCTACTGCAATTTGAATAAGACTTTAGGTAGCTTGAACAAGTGAGAGGATAATTCCTTTGACAAGTTGATTTGGTGGTAACTTTAAAATCCTGGTCTCTCCAAGACTGAAATTCTGACTGCTCCTCAAACTGGGAGTTTTGGCTGCTGTTACAGGAGAGTTTCTGTCTCAGCACAGTAGAGCAAAGAACTTCTTAAAGCACAATGTATTTCCAAACAATTCTCACTGGTGCTACAATGACTGGTAAAGAAAAAAATATTGTAATGGAACTCTTTCCTTTCTGATCTTGGGTGTTTGTTGTTGGGACTATTTTAGTTATTTATGTAGTTTTTTAGCATTTAATGTTACCATCCTGCCAGTGCTCAGATTGCCTTTATCATCACATGAAGCCAAATTACTGTATAAGCAATTCCCAGGAAAAGAGTAATTAGTCAACTGTCTAGCACCCATCTGCCAGTTTGGATTCTTCCCCTCTGCAATTCATGGCACTCCCTAAATAGTCAGATGAAAGAATAATAAAGTCCAAAGATACCTGATTTTTCCTGAAATAAAAACCTGAACTCCCTGAAACTTAGGAGTATGGCAGCTGTCTGTAAAATTTTTCAAAGAGCTGTGATTCAGCAGGCAGTGTTAGGCTTTGACTTGCCTAAGAATTTGTCCATTTGACTTCTCCATATCACAGCCCTGCACACTAATCAAATACTGGCTTTTGAAGGATCCATCTCTCTGCGTGAACTCTAAGAAATCTGTCTGAAAAATTAATGGCATTTAGTTTACATTAAGCATTCCTCTGTTTTCATTCTTCTTTAAACATTCTTTTTCTAGTTGTAGTGAAAGAGCAAGACTGAGAATTTCCAAAAACTGAAGAAAAGCTTCATTTTGGAGAACCTTGGAGAAGGATCAGTTCAACAGAAAATTATTTCTAAGTAAGTGACTCGTGTACAAACCAACCTGGATGGCGCAGACAGAGGCTGCAAACAACTTGCACTATTGTTCAGTTTTATCTCCTGATCGTTATTCAGGCTTGTCCCCTGGAACAAATTACTCAAGCCAGCCACTCTTCCCTTCTGAATGGCACGCAAGGATTGTCGTCGGTATTCATCCCGAGCCCTGCGTGCTTTGTGGCTCCTTTCCTCATCTGCAGCTTTGGAGCGACGCACTGGGTGGAATGAATGGAAAGGGTGAGGAGGAGAGGCTTTAGAAATACAAAAACCATTTACTCTTTCCCTAATAGAACTACTTTTATTCCTTATATGATGTGATATTAAGAATGTTCAAATTACAACACACTATCAAAGAGATGGGTAACTGGATGACTTCTCTGATGCTTCAGATACAGGCCCACCATCAGAAAAAGCATGCCAGACTTGAGCTATCAATGATCTGATGACTGCTGGCAATAACTGAGACTCTACATACTGCAATTACATCTGACACTTGCTTTGGCTGTAATAAGAGAAATTCTGCTTCAGGACATCTTTTCCACTGGCAGTGAAGCAAGTTTTATGTTTCAAGAAAGAATATTAACTACCAATTACACTTAAGTCAGTGTTTAATGGAATTCTTTGCAACTATACAGATAACTGGCATTGTAGGAGCTATTCTCAAAATTTAGTTAGATAAAAACTAGCATGTAGATCACACTTTTTGTTGTTACTGTTGATTTCTTTCTGAAAGGCCTATGCTATCTTTGTCACAGTACTTAAAGTCACAGAAGTCTCCGTCTTGAAAATTGCAGTCGAAAAGTATTTTCAGTAACAATGGAGAAGTTAATAGTCTTTGTAAAGGGCATGCTGATGCTATGGATGGGGTTGTCTCACATTTGAGTCTCTCAAATTGCATACAAAGAAACAGAATCTGTACTGGAAGATTTAATACACATCTATCAATGGCATTGACCAGAGAGTTAAACATTTCCATAACCTGAAATGAGACTGCTGCTCTGGCCCTTGCAGGTCAGCCATCTTTCACTAAAGCTTCATCATTTTAAAACTAACATACTAAAAATCCAGTCTTCAAAAAGGTATGTCTTAAATGGACCAAGACTTGTACTGCAAATATTCATCATATCAGCTCTTTTCTGGTGCCTCAAGACCCATTTTGATGATTTTTATTTATTTATTTTTTTTGGAGATAGAAATAACTTCAGGCAAGCAAATTATTCCAGTCAAAACAAACCTTTAACATCCAGTGAAGCAAATATTAAAGCAGCAAGCTATTGCCTCCAGTAGCAATTATCAATCCTGCCATGACTATCCTGGCTTAGATCATGCCCAGTTCATAAAGTGAACAGACTATTTCTTACTCTGCTGTGATTGCACCTGTGACTAGGAATGCATGATATAAAACCAGATAGATGCATTTCATTAGGCTGTTTGCATGCTGCTGGTTTACACTCCTGATTTAAAGCAAGCAGAAGTATAAATGGATTTGTCCAAATCATGAAAAGGCTTCATGGAATCAAGGAATAAAAGCGCTCAAAACAAAATGACATGAAATAAAACCCTTAAATGAGGGAAAAAGACTTTTAGGCTAAGAGTTATATATTATCATAGGTAGCAAGATACACAGGACTAAAAGCTTAGCAACATAGCATAATATGCATGTCATAGTTTCTTCCTGTATATATAACTGGCAGGATTTCAATTTCACTTACCTGCATACAGAGCAGTTTTTGCTAAACACAATACCAAGCAACTGTACAGCACATAAAATTTGAGTAACAGGTCTCACCACTTATCTTACAGGCTGTTATTTTTAAGGGTAGATAACGTCACCTAAATATGCTACTTCAATGGCTCAAGTATACTAGTGACAAAAACAAAAAAAAGTTCTGCAATTTATCATTTGTAAAGCTACTCAGTAATGGCTGCTTTAAATATGGAGTTTGTATTTGCAACAACATGAGACAGCAAGGAAGATGAGTGCAATGCAACTTGGTAAGACATTTAGAAATCAGCCACTGGTTGTCACAGATCAGGGTCAGACTGCCTGGAGCTTTCTGAGATTCTATTCTACTGATGCACAGGCTGCCTGGTAGCAAAAAAGGCAAGGTGTCTTCATGCCCCCCTTTCCCTAGCAACAGACGCTCTTTTCAAGAGACATTCTTACTGTATTTTTACTAGCTAATAAATCTGTACCATCAGAAGCTAGTGACCTGGACTACATTTTCCCAAACTATTGAATTTTAGTATTTCTTATGACAAAACAATGGGGAGAGGTAGCATAGTTTGCAACTTTTAAATATCAGCATCATATGAAATGAAGAATTTGATTGACTTGTCAAGTTTGCCAGAAATCTACAGTTCAGCCCAGTCCTGTTTTTCCATCTCCACTACCAGTTTTTTCTTCAGGTGTTGGTGATACCAATGACAGGTACATCCTCCTTCAGCACTTACAAAATTAAGCATGCTTCTGCCTTGATGGCAGGGTAATTATATAGCAATGCCTTTATACAGTTTAAGTTTGTAGAGAACTGTTCATATGTTTTAGGTGCCAATATTACTGTGGCTGCAGTAGAGCAGGCAAAAAATGAGTTATCAAACCTTCCTGGAAAACTGGTAAAAATATTTAGACTAAGGTTTGTGCTGTCATGATTATATGGCTATCATTGCTAGAAAAAATAGTTAAGGCCAGCTTAGACATGTCTGTATGACCTGCAGTGTCATGTAGAACATACTCTAACAACAAAAAAGAAACCACACAGCTTGCGTGTGCAATACCTTTCACGATCCTCTAGGTCTCACTGAGTTTGTCTTGTTTTTCTTGAACAGTTTAAGAGACTCTATTATTCTTCTGTGCTAATCTAAGTTGTCTTTTGAGTGAAAAAGCAAGATTTCCTTTTATATTTTTCTCTTAGGATTGTGAAATCCCTATTAGCAGTCTGGCAAAGTTCTAATGCCAAAACTTTGATACAGATGAGGATTTGCTTTGCTGCAGCTGAACTTGATCACATAATTTGTGAAAGACTAGGAACTCTCAATTTTGTACAATGTTTTTTGCTTTTGAAGAGTGTTACAATCAGAGCTATATGAAAGCAGAAAGAAACCCATGTGCTATGAATATTCATCCTCAGTTTTAAATTATTTTGTTTCGGCTTTACCCTTGTTAATAATTCTTGGAAGCTTGTTTATGAGCAATTCAAATGAGTACTTAATAGATAAAATTCAATCTTTAAATTTTCTGAGTGTGCATACAAATCACATGGTGTTTTCCCCTTTCCTAATTGGAAAATAACTTCCCAAAAATACTCTGCGATATGCTCCAGTTCAGCAATCTGCTTATCTGAAAGCATGTGAATAATCCCATTCCTATTCAATAACACACTCTGTGACCCACTGAAATTCAGTGAGCACACACTTAAGGTTGAGCACTTTCTTGTCAATGCATAGCTGAGCTGGGGACTACTCACTTCAAAATTCAGCACTTTATCAAATGCTCCTGACAGTAAACTCACTCATTTGAATTTGTGTGGAAAATAAGCACCAAACAAACATGAATTCCTTTAAAATTCAGCCAAAAATAAATTCATGGACATATTTTGTAGAAGAACATAAAAATGTAACAATATAAAAGAAGATATGAGTCAGCCTGGAATCCAACTTCCAACAGAGACCAAAAGTGGGTGCTTTGGGAAAAGCATAAGTATAGATAAAGTCAGTCAACTCTGTTTATTTTTTTACTGGAATAATTTTGATTTGGAGATGAGTAAAGCTGGTCAGATTGTATCTGAGCACTTCATTGTTTGATGCAGTTTGTAGGGGGTTCTAAGCGCATTAACAGAATGCCTTTTGCAGTATTCACTCAGAGGAATATTTATACTACTGTTTTTCATATTATGTTTTGCAGATTCTTTTTCTGATTTCACACTCGGAGATTGTGATATACAGTATTGTTTACTGAATACTCTAGAAACCTACAAAATAGCCTGTAGAAAGGTCCAAAACTAGTCAGAATATATGCACTCCTCTATCCAAGCTTAGCCTTAGTTCTCCCTTCTCAGTTTCAAAAAAAAAAGAACCAAAATAACAACTTTGAACAGTGGACACTTTGATTCAGTCTTTTCCACTATTCATCTTCTCATTTGCTAGCCGATATACTTGACTTCACATATTAACTCACAATTGCCATCTAAAACACCATAACATATATCTATTACATGAAATTGAAGTGTATAATTGCTCTTACAACACTGTTTTTTTCCTTTTAGTACCGATTTCTAAAGTTATTCTACATTTGTCATTTTGTACATTAAAAAACACTAAAATTATGTATTTCAATTAACACAGTGGTTCTATGGGCTTTTATTGTTATTTGGCATAATCAGGGAAACAGCAGAAGCAAACTGAACCAAGCAACAGGAGCTAATATTACCAACACGTTGCTTATTGCCTTGGCAATAAACAACTGAGGGATAATGTGATGAGGAGAGATGAATCCTCATCACATTCTAAATTCCATCTACTAAATAAATTAGTAGTGTCATCAATATCATAGCTACATTTGCTCTCCACAATAGCTGCTCTAGCACTACTTTTCCCCTTCAGTACTGACCCCCAGCCTGGTTGAATATGAAGGGCTGCCTTCAAGGAGGTAAGACACAGAGACTGGCCTTGTTCCTAATGGGTAACATGGTTTCCATTGCAGGTGTGTAGAGACAAAAGATGGTAATGTTACATCTGCTTGTAATTCTCTTATACATTCATGCATTTGTTTATTGCTTAGAAAAGATGACAAGTAGACAGCTTTGCCTAACTTCACTAAATTTCCTCTCAGTGCCCCAAAGGAATATTTGAAGACAAAATGAAAGTATTGTCATAAAAAGGGGGGGGAGGGGAGAAATCTGGAACTGAAATCAGAACTAAAAAATCTGGTGAACCTGAAGGACTAGTTCCATAGCAATTTCAGATGTTCCCACTTCCTAATATTTGTTATTGCCTGTCTGATGGGGTTTCCGGCTCCTGTTAAGGAAATGGAAGATGTTAACATTCCTGAGGAAGCTCAATGCAGTCTGATGGCATAGTCTAAACCAGCCAGGAACTGGTTTCAGATGAGGCACTAAACACTGCATCTTCATATCTTAATTTGTCACACCCATTTGCTAATGGAACACAATTCTAAGCTGTCAAACCAACTGGGATAAATTGAGACACTAAGATAAGCGTAAGAGGATAAACAAGGATGTGATACACTTTAGTCATTAGTCTGCACTTAGTTTAATGCTAAATCAATTACTGATAACAGCATAAACTCTAGCAGCACAGAATTTATAGTAGGCTGCAAAACCCAACTGTGGTGCCACCAGCCAGAAGGTGCTGAGCTTTTGTTTTGCCATGGCAGCACTATTATTGGTGACCAGGCTAGACAGCTTGAAATTACTGCAGTCAGTCACCTTTTGACCACAAGCAGACAGGTCTGTAAGTACTGAGGCACAAAGACTGACAGTGATAGAATTCCTTCAGAGCATACAGAATACTCCAAAGGTTATACAAGACAAAATACTGATGGTAGATCATATTCATCAGCATATACTGCAGTCAAAAGTGTTTTGACAGATCAAGAATGCCATTACAGAAATCATGGTCAAAACCTTTCAGACCTTATTCCTTTTCTCTCTGCCTTCTCCCGTAATTCCTCTAACGCATTTCTGATCTCTGTCTCCATATAACCACCATTCCTTAAGAAAACAGAGGCAACAGTTTAAAACCTCAGTTATGTCTGTAGTGCAAGAGTAAGAAAATAAGTTACAGTATGTAATTATAGTCATGTTTAAGGTATTTTGTTTTATTGCCAATTTCAGTGTAAAGGGAGACTGGGGTTTTGTGTGTGTGTTTGGCGGGCTTTTTTTTAATAACATGGTTGCTAATATATTTTTCCCTTATATACCACCAAAAAAATACTAAAGCACATAATATCATCCTCTGTGTTAGGTTGCCAGCTGATGCTAGTTTTCTACAAAACTAAGAGGCTATTTTATTCCCACCAACTCATTCTGCTCTTAAACACCCAATATACAGAAAGATACAGTTTTCATTTCCAAATAAACACATACATGTGGATTTAGATAATTGTCCAGGAAATAATTACCTTTCTTTATTGACAGTGTTATATACAGAGGTTTTATTGATCAAAAATGAGCATAGCCTGCTATGAGCTTGGAAAATGGCAGCAGTGCATCTTATACAGGTTTAATTCACGTTGTACAAAATGATTCACTCTCACATCAATTCAAGGTAATAGGACTCCAGTAATCAGTTCTCAGGAGCTCCTAAATTGATGACTAGAACCATAAAATAAACTCAGTGCATTTTTTTAAACATTTCTTTTACTTCTGTCAGGAAATATGTAACACTACAGCAATATTTTTTCCTACTTCATGAGGCATTTCATGCAACAGATACTATCAGCTCCATTTATCTCCATATTTAGTATTAGTTAATGAACCTTTGTGTTATATATAACTAATATAACAACCTCACGTTAGCTAAAACTTTCTAATCGTTAACATTTCCTTTTTCTGCAGAGTAAGTAAATCAGTATAGATGTGGGAAATAAAAAATATTTCCCCCCCCCCAACAAAAATACATAATTCTCATTGTAAACAGATTTCCTACTTCTAAAGCCACCTATACAACAGACATCCAGATGGATATAGGTGTACATTGTATTCATAATATCCTATTAAGTTTTATTTACTCATAATGTGGACCTTTACTTACCTATAGTATGTATGTATGTATACATATATATGTAGGAATATATTTGTTCTGTTCCTTAAAGGCTTTCAAAAATCACTAATTTATTTTTAAATTAATCACAATGGTGATAGGTACAGCACCTTTAGTAGAGAGATCATCATCATGATCATTTTCAGGGCAACAATCTAAATATTATGTTCTGCAATTTTTGCAATGAAGTGAGCGTCAGTGCTCATATCATATCTTGACTCCATTGCCATATGGAAATAATTTAAATACAGATGAAGACAGATTTTACCTCTTCAGAGACAGCTGAGGACAAGCTGTGAAATAACTGTGTCCAGAATTCTCATTAAGCCAAAATTGTTAATTAATGACATTAGACAAAATATTAATGATCTCAGTCACTGTACATGAAAACATTTCTATAAGACATTGACACCGATTCTCATCCAGAAAGGTATGTGAAATTGGTAAACTCACTGTAAGTTCTGTTTGTGAGCTCAGGCTGGTATTTTCCTGAAAAATAATACAGCATTTTGCATTGCTCTATGTAGAAGAGATTTTCAGCAACACTGTTTTCCATTCTACCAGTCTCCTTTTATTTGCCTTCTGAAATACATTAATTCTGTGAAGGTAATTTTACTCACACTGTTCTTCCCACTCCTGGTCATCATCGCTGTGTTGACTATGCTGCTGAGCTTGCATGAGGCTCAAATACAACTCTTTTGCTCGGATTTCTTCCTGTTGTTTTATTTGTTCTTCACCTTTTTGTCTTTCCTCTTCTTCTCTTTTCTAGGCAAAATGAAGTAAAATAGAGGTGAGGAAGAATGTGCCAAAAGTTAGAACACTGCTTCAGTTGCTTCCTCCCACAGGGTAGCTACATTCCCTTTGACAAATCACACTCTCTTCTAACTTTAGGTTTCTTCACATATCAAAACAGGCATAATAGAAGTTTCTTACCTTTTAGGAATTTCTGATAAAGATATGTTTTGAGATGCACAGGTATTAATGGGAATAAGAAACATATAAGTACCTGAGACTTGAAGTCTACATGGAAACCATGTTTTGTCATGTGGCACCAAAGCCTCTGCTATCCTGCAATCCACAAGCAATGCTTGTTTTAAGTCCACATGTACATTGGAGATATCCCTATCACTCAAGCAGTATACACATCAACTACAGAATCTATAGAATTCAGTAAGTGATTTACTGGTGTTCTTAATTTAGCGACTGTCACCATGTGTCATTCTAATCAACACAGAGAATAACTTTTTCTAAATATTAAGATCATTACATTCTGGATGAAAAGCCAGATCTTTCAGCACACACTAGTTGCTTTGCAAAATGCAGCCAAAGGTAATGTACAAAAAAGGTTCCCTTCCAAGAAGACCAGATGAAAATCTGATACAGATTGCCTCTACAGCTGGCCTTCAACATACTACTGATAATGTAGGAGCTTGATTTGTGCAGAAAGAGAATCCATACCTGTTTTCTAAAAATCTGCTACCCAAATTCCTTAGGTAGCAGAGAGGCAGATTTAATTCATTATTCAATTGAACACCACCCCAAAAAGCTAAAACCAAGCTTCATGAAATCTTATTCATATTATTGAAATAACTTGAATTATGAAAAGAACATTTTTGTATTTAATTTTACAATGGAACCAACACTATGCTCTTTTGGGTAACAAACTTATGGATAGGAATTTTGTTATAAGTCGCTGAGTAAAATCACCCTGAACTATTAACCTAGTTACACAACAGAAACTATAAGTACGGGGTGTCCAAAGTAGATTGTGAGTTGTTGCAAAATGTTAATGCTATCAAACTTCCAGTGTGAAGCAACTGACATCTGGTTGAATAAAAACTAGTGAAACTCTAAGTTTTACATCCGGAGACCTGGGGGAGATATTTCTGGCTTCCTTAAATAACTTTTCTTCATTAAAAGTCAGAAGTGGGATTTCACCAGATTTTTGCACTTTCCTAACTTTTCTCCATTTCAGAGGGATTTTCATGTTTCATTGCAGTGGGACCAGCAAGAGCTGAGTGCAAAAAAAAAAAACAACCAAACAAAATGCCAATCCAAACCAAAACAACAATAAAAACAGCAACCTCCCATGATTACTTTAAACTGGAAAACAATTTATCAAATGCACTGACACATTCCATCAGTCAGCTGAGGTGGTGTATTTGAGGAAATATCTTCAGCTACAGATTTTGTACTAGTACTTTTTTTATTTTTTATTAAGACATGTTATGTTGTAAAGTCTAAAAATTCTTTTCAGATAGGATTGCTCCTGCTCTCAAAAGGAAATCACATGTATTAATCTTCCTTTTTATTTTATCATATATTTGCACTGTGAACTTTGTAGAAGGGCATCTTTTGTAAGTTTGAAAACAAACTGTGACCACAGCAGGATTCACAGCATGACCAAAACAGTACATGGTCTATTTTAGTGAATACTACAAATATGAGTGGAGGCAAAACCTAACCTCTATTATTCTCTAAACTTAGTCTGTAGGTTCAGGTGATGTAAAACTGAACTTGCATGAAGTTGCTCATAATCCTGCAAAAAGTAACTTGCATGTCTTTTTTTTTTTTTTTTTTTGGTACATGTAGGTTTTTTCTGTTCAGTGTCTGAAGATGCAACTTATATGAAAGTTCACGCTATGTATAATGGCTGTTATAATTCAACCTCTTTTGGCTGAAAGGGTGGGAACTATCCAAAAGCTGTATTTTAATTCAATAAACATACACATAAATTAACACTTCCCTGCAGTAAATAGTTTGTGTTTTATAATGCATTGGAAAACTTATTCAAAGGTGGTCTGTCCTATCTTAACACCTGCCAGGGCTCAAATAGCAAAGCCAACCTGCATATAGTAATATGAATGTCCAAACAATGTTTAGTGCCCCTGAGAGAGACTCATACACATTTTCACAATGGTTGAACAGGTGTCTGAAATATATGTCTGGGAAACATGTCCTTTCCCATGGTATTGTTGATCATGGGGAAGGAAAGGTGCTTTTTTCTCTCCTCTCTCAACCCCAGTTCTCTCTAGCTCTGCAGACATTATCTGTTGTTAACCAAACATCTGGAATTAGAGGAAGACAACTCCAATTCTTTTCAGAAGACTGCTTTCCAAAGCAAACAATATTGCTGTTTACAACCTCTAGAATCAAAGTGAGGGCCAGAAGCAACAGAAGGAAAGAGGACTCTGGTTGTTCTGGTCATGAATCGCACAATGGCACATTTAAGGAAGAGTGACAAAAAGACTGAAAAGGAGTAAGCAATGACAAGCAGTGACAAGCAACACCATCTTCAGAGTGGGAAACCAAAACAAACGCAAAGCCCCATCCTTTGAAAGAATTCAACCACTTCTCCATTTCCTTAAGTAAATTAAATCAATATTTCTCCATTTAACACAGCTGAGCTACACCAGTTTGCACCAGCAGAGGATTTGTCTTCTTTATAACACAACAAATCAAAAAAACTGAAATATTGGGTATTAATAGTGTAATGAATAATAGCTCCAGAACACACATGATGAACAATAAATTAGGCTGCACTTATTATTTCCAAGAAAGAAAAGCCTAGTATTGTCCTTCAGTCAATTTGTTCTAATATCTTTGATTACTTCTAACATCATACTCCCATTGTTATCCCCTAAGTCCTAAAAAGATTAATTTAGTGGGCAGTTCATTATTTTTGAATAGTCAATGCTTTCTGGAAGCACTGATTTCAAAGCCCAGTAGCTTCTTCAGAATAATAAAACAAAAAACTACCTTTTTTTAAGAGAACTAGGGATTCCATATTTTGGCTGCTAAAAAAAGGCTGTATTCCTTTCTTGGAAAAACTATGCAATGAGCTATTCTTTTTTCTTATGAGAAGAATATTTATTCACCTAGCTTCACTATCTAAAAAAATTCAATTCATCTAGGCTATCTTTTTGGGAAGACAGAGAGACACAGGGGTAGTCCTGGGTTATCAAGATGTCTTCTGTTCAACCTCTCAAATAACAAGGTAAACTTAAGGGAGGGGGAGATTTAAGTCAAAGAGGAGACAACAATAATAGCAAACTTAACACTGACACGTGATTATGAAGTCACAAAAAATTCCATATAATTCTCCTTATTAAAGGAAAAAATAAAATTCTATTTATTTTAATTAGTGCATGGATACGTGTGCAAGTATATTGTACAACTCCTTAATTTGTGTGTGAGGAGAAATAACTCTTGTAAATACGCCACAGGAAAGAAAAATCAGCCTTTTGTGAAGTATGAGTAAACCTGATATGCTTGTATTTAAATTAATAACTGAACTTGCCACACTTACTCCATTGGAAGAACAGAGCAACCAGTTTATCTGCTTCTCCCCATGAATCCAACCCTGCACATCAGAGCTGAGAGTGAAGAGCAACAATAACCTAAAAAAAACACCTTCTGCCTGACAGTTGAGAGATTGTACTTTGTGCCATGACCCTTTCAGCTCTTCCAGAATAATTAGAAAGGTGACAATTCAGTATATAGTTACAAATTACCAAGAAATACCAACCCGCTGCAACAAATCACTATGAAAGTTCAATAGGCAGCAGTAATCCTCTCTAGCGTTAACTGCACTGGAGAATTTGAACATGCTAAATGATCTTATGTAGCCTCCGGCAGTTGAACATTTACCACAGACCTGTTACTTGTTACCGTGACTGTCTGCTTCACAATGTTTGATAGCTTTGCTATGGCCCGCTCTAAATAACGCTTGATGCGTGAACCACCCCTGACCCAAGGCAGACATGCAGGCTACCTGCCACAGGGCTGAGAGCACTCATCTTCAGATCTAAGCCCTTAAGACTTCCTGCTCTGAAAGAGGAAATCTGGAAATCCTGGGTTCCAGGACAGCCTGCTCTCAGCAAGGTTGACACAGCAGGCTGAGTTCAGAGATCAGTTCTCCATAAACTCACCTGACAGTTTCCAACGCAGCGTTGATTGAGTATCAGCAGAAATATATCTAACTCCTTCCCACCCTTTTTCTGAGAAAATTCTCTCACTTGCATCAGAAAAGGAAGCAGTCGCAGAGACATTATTTTCTTCTCTACTACCAGTGTTTCAAAAGGAACACAGGGTTTGCATCATTCCATGGTGCATGTATATGCACTGAGACAAATGTATAAAATGCATTCATGCTTTACGTAGCTGTTTCAGTCATGGATATGCTCCAGGACATGCTATTCACCTATGGCTCATATAGAGAGGTGACAATATACTGTTTCACAAAGACCTTCTTTTAGATGAGGCAGAAAACAAAGCTAAAGACTATTCCTGGTTGGGAGAGATCTAAGATTTATTGCACATGGCGAAGCAGACCCTGCTTGTGTAACTTGCATAGATCCAGTAACAACCTACTAAAGGTTTGTCTCTGAGGCTTGAATTCACAGCTTGAATTCCCTGTATGCAAACTATGCATGGAGGATTACCCATGGAAAATATCAGAGCTTTGCTAGTTTTTACTAGCAAGCCAGAATGAAGACAGTGGCTGCAGCAAGCACAATTACCACTGGGGAAAAGATTTTTTTTTTAATTAATATCATAGTTCCTCACAAGTAAGATAGAAAAACCTGACAACCTGGCTCCCAGCAGCAGCTAACAACTGCCTCACTTCCAACATGGTTCTGGAGACAACTGCATGTTAAAAAAGAAATTCTGAACTGAATTGTGGTTGCATAAAAGAAAACAAAATGAAGTATCACTGAATTATTGTATTTGTGATTGAATGAACTTAAGTGAGGTATTTTCAG